AAAGTGGCATAAATCACTCTTCATTAAATGCAGTTTTATTATGCAATTTTATTTTGTAAAGAGGGTCAATGTGACAAATCTTGGAGAGTCACAGCAAGGTAATTGTCTGCAAAATCCATGTGGAGTGTTCCTTCCACCCTCCTGCCACCTTTTTTCCCCCACTTTTTTATTCCCTTTTTTTTCCCCTAAAAAAGTGTCCAGCCTGACGTGACCTCAGAGCTAACCCACCTTTGAGCAGGAGTTTGAATCCGAGGCCTTCTGAGATCCAAAGTACAATTGGAATTATCCTGTGATGCTGTGAAACCAGGGTCAGAGCTGAAGGAGGAACACTAAAGGCTTTCTGTTCAAAACACAGAGACTTGAGAGGTGTTTTTTGTTTGGAGTGTTTCCTAGTGCCTTGATTCTCCTGTCCTTTCCACAATCTTCACTGTGTGCAGTCTAGCCTTAACATCAAGGGCTCTGATCCTGGAAGAGAGAGAGGAGGGGTTGAAGGGGGCGAAGGAGGAAAATCTGTGGCATTTATTTGATGTGGAAGTGCTTACATCCTATGACAACAGACAGGAGGTGAGAATCAGCGTGACTAATGAGTTGTTTACTTGGCTTTTGTATCCCCTGCCCCCCCAGGTACACGGGCTGTGTTTGTTTTTTATGCTATTGATTTCAGATTCCTGCAAATACCATTCCTTTGTCCTTCACCTTGTCAGCAGTTTGTGAGATACTACTAATCCTCTCCCTTAATGCTGTGGAAAAGATAAGGTAGTTAGGATGCAGAATGCTACCTGTTTTTTTCTTTCTTTTCCTGTACAACAGTACGATATTTTTAGTCAGGAGCTGTCGTTTCTCAGAGTTTGGACGCAGACCCTGTTTGGAAAACTGAGGTCCCCTTATAAACTCCCTTGAGAACTGATCCCACATACGACAGGCCTGCCATCTGCCATTGTTTTCATATTGAGGTGGTCTAAAAATGTATGGAAAGAGTAGAGCGCCTCTCTGCAGTTTCCTGATGCTTGTCTTCATGGTACCAGGCCTAAACCCAAGGAAAACGGGGGAAAAAACTCCATTTGTTTTTTAGTGTTGAATTTGACAGTGTCTGTGTGATTGAGACAATTTGTGATTGGATCCAGAATTTGTTAGAACAGCCTCTAAACTCCTTTTGCAAAAATTGGTGGGGAAGACTGCTGGGAATGCCTGGGGTTTCTTTATTCAATTAAACAGTCTTAGCTGAGATTAAAAGGAGTAAAAGCTGTACTTTAGGAGCATTTAATACTGAGGTGTGGCACAGGCTACAAGTCCCAAAAAGGCTGAAGTGCTGTCACAGATCATCTAATATTTGGTCACCGGCCTCAAGCACACCCTTCTTTGCCTTTTGACCAGCTCAGCTTTGAAAGAGTGGATTTCTCTGGTCTGCCGTTCACTTTTACCTAGGGTATCCATGATGCAGCTGTGGATCTGGCTTGTTCTTAAGAAAAGACTTACCTGGAATATTGTAGGAGAAAATATATTTTATGTAAGTGAGAAACAGGTAAAGGGGGTTTCAGTTTGCACATAAATTCTGGGGTCCACGGTACAGAGAGATGCTGACAGCTCTTGCCTGGTGCAAAAGTGGGAGGGAGCAGAAAGTTGTGTCAAGACTAGACTGTGGAAGGATCTGAGCTACAGCTCAGTTTTGCTAAAGCTTTGGAAATAGTCAGGGAGTATTTTCTACATTTATCTTACGATGAAAGAAAAACAGAGTAAATGAGCAAGTGGATGACTGTGGCCAGGTAGAGCCCTTTCGTTTGTCCTCTCTGCGGGGGTGTGGGAGCATGGCAGCAGGCAGAGCCCAGCCAGGCAGCAGGGCTGTGGGCAGGGGCTGCGCCCCAGCTTTTGCTGGCTGCTGGTGATGTGGGTGCTGGTCTGGTGGGCGCGCTGTTGAGCCAAACACAGCCTGCCAGGGAGAGCATCTGTCGGCAGCTTGGAGGAGAGCAGGAAAAAGGGTAAGTAAATGCTGAATTGAAACAAAGGAGACAACAGAACTCATTTTATGGCTGATTTTGACAGGTGAATTACAATCACATTGAAGGAAGCTCATAAAAGGCCAATGGTCTGTATTTGCTTGACTCTTGATCCATAGTGAATTCTGATGGTTGCCCCAGTGCAGCGGAGACTGAGCCTGGAGAGAGACTGGGGAGTTCCCGTGGGTGCCCCAGCTGCCAGGGGATCATGGGAGAGAGAGCTTCTTGGGTGTCACTTTCTGACAGCCCCTTTGCCTTGCTGTCTGCACAAATAATCAGTTTGTTTTCCTTTTTTATTTTCATTAAACATCCTCAGCTCTCAAGAGTTCCTTAGTAGACATCAGCTGATGTTTTCGAGTCTGGTTTCAGAAGTTTCCTCCTTGTTTTGGGAGAGCATTTCAAGAGGAAGGTTTCTCCTACCTTTCTCCTGCTTGGTCACAAGGGCAACTCATGAGGGTTTCCTCATGCTAAAAAGAGCTCAGGGGAGGCTTCTTGGCTGCTGTTACTGTTCTACATTACAACGACCAAGGCTGACCGGCAGTTCAGTCCACTTTTCTCAGTCTCCCTTCACCTGAAACTGTTGTTACCATTTCTAGCACTTCTTCCACACTTCACATGCATCTACCCTCGGGGCACATCACGCTGCTGCCTGTGATACCAGCTGGTCTGCTGGCTCAGCTGCTTCCAGCATGGCACTGGGCAGAGAGACAGCAGCCACCCTCCCTGATGGCAGGCTGAGTGTGCTGGCCTTGGGGACGCGTTGTGCTTTTATTAGGCAGAGTCTGTGTTGAGTGCCACCTGAAGTGCATCCAAAACCAGCCCCTTCCCTCCTCAGTTAGATTAAGCACAACCTTTCCAGCCTGAAGCCACTTGGTGCCCCAGCAGCAGCTGTGCTCTTACCTCCTGGGTGCTCTCCTGCTGTTCAGGTTTCCCAGATGCAATGTATTTAGGAAAAATAAATAAAAAAGAAGTTGAACTAGTGATAAATCATTTATTTTGATAGTGACAGGATCTGATTTGTTTTTCCAGAGTGCTGAAGAGTTTCCACTGCTCAGCTCTGCTGCTTGTAGTTATAACAGTTAATGAGAAATGGTTTGGAAACAGCTACTGTTTTAATTGCTGAAGCAATTACTGTTTAGTTTTGATGGTGAAAAATAATTGCATGTAAGGTGTTTCTTTTCTGTGTATTTTCAAATTTGTAATTAGGCTTCTCAAATTATGTACTTCTTAAACTTTGGAAACAGATCTTTCAAATAAGTGTTTACTCCCTGGTATTCTTATGTACTTAACTTGGGTAATGTGAATAGACTTACAGGACTTAAAAGAAATACTAATGTAGGTAAAATTACCTGAAAATGTAGGTGTTTAGAAGTTGAGGAACTGCTGCTAGTAGGGCTCTTTTAAATAAATAAACATACCTAATGCATCCAGTTTTCATGAAGATGGGCAGACATATTTTTTGCTTTCTCCTGTGGGCTGCAAATTGCAATCTTTTTCTAATACAACCATCAAAAAGAAATAAGTGCAGACATCATCTTCAAAAATCAGGCCTGTTTGACTAAGTTAGGGAGTCAAGACTTTCTGTGTTATGTATTGCAAATAACTCGCAATCAAGACCTTTTCTGGATTTTCATCAAGACTGAAACTTAATCCAGTATAAAACAGTGAAAGAAAGAAAACTGAAGACTAATTTTTGTAACATTCTGTGTCATCCCACTATGACTAAGCTCATTTATAAATACCTTGCTCCTGCCATTGACTCTGCAGACTTGGCAGCAAGAATAAGATGAATGTGGTTTATGCTGGGAGCTGCAGCCCCAAAGGCTGTTTGCTCCCCCCAGCTGTGAGAATATCAAAGAGAAGATGCTGAAGGCAGCGGCTGCGATATGATGTGTTCCCACATGCCCACTGCATAATCATCCCACACTGCTCCACATACCCCATGCCAGGGAGCAGCCAGAGAGCCTAGGCTGAAATTTTCAGGGTGCCAGCAAGCTTGTTTTGCCTTGAACTCCTGCCTCAGTGAACAAGACTGATGAAAGTCACATATATTTGGGGAATGCCAAATGTGGGCATGTGTCACTATGAATTGCCAGTATTTAAGTGACTTGGTGTGTAAAAACACAAATAGATCCTTCATAGTAGATTTCCATTGCACGTAGATGTGAGAAGTAGGGACCAGAGCAAGCATGAAATGTCTCTTCAGCTCTGCATGAAGTGATCAAGGCCCAAAGAACCCCAGTTCTTGGTTTGCGTGCTTCTGGCATTACCATGCTCTACCAGGAGTTCAAAGCTCCCTTTCTTTCTACAGAGTCCTATTCTGAGAGGGAAGAATGAAAATTTGAACCTCCTGATATAATAGAAGAGTTGGTCAGGCTAAGATTACGGTGAAAAGTATTGCAGCATATCCGTTACAGATATTTTTCATCGCTGTGCATGAGGATACACATTCTTTGTTATGCAGCTTGCTTTTATGGTAAAGTTGCTTTGAAGAAATACAGATGTAGAAAAGCTAACTACTGAGATGCAGGTCCTGAAGGCCGAAAGTGCTACAAAATGCTGACTAGGGATAAAACCCAACTTTGCTCACTTAATTCTTTTGCATCCATAAAAGGAAGGCTTACAAATAAAAATTCTGTGTAATGATGAAAACTGTATTAATGTTACAACTGTATTATTACTAACAAAGATACTGATTATGTGCTGTGTGTTTCCCTCCAGCTCAATTCTGACCTTGTTTATGTCTTTCCATTATTGTTTGTCCGTTTAGTAAAGTGTGGCTACACATTTATAATTATTATTATTATTATTATTACTTGACATAGATTTCACTAACTTTGGGTAAGATACATCTCATCAGGCTGTAGTATAATTTTTTCTAGAGTACTGTTTTCCTTTCCAGACAGATGCAGCAAACTGAAAATGGTGCTAATGAAAAAGTCAGAATTTGACGTTTTGATGGCATGGATGTGGCAGAAAAAGCATTGTCCTTCTCTTATGTTACAGATCTGAACACATCACACACCCAAGGTTTCCAGACAAGTGTTCCAAACCAAGAATCCATCCAGTCACCACAGGTAGATGAACTGCTGCTGAACGCCCAGACTGAGAGCCTGCAGGATGCAGAAAGTGGAGCCAGAGTAGAGGAAAAGATTGTTTACCTCTGATAACTTGTTTCCTAATCTCAGTAGCACTTTGGAAAGATAACTGTGTTTGCTTTTCTAAATTTCTGTAGTCATTCTCTGTATGACCATCTGGCTTTAAGGGTAGTATTTAATAGTAAGTGCAAAATTTTCCCCATGATAAATATAGCAAGTAAGTTATTTTGAAGCCTTTGTTGTATAATCTTTCATTTATGTCATGATTTCAAATCTTGCAAAGCTTCATGCTTTGCAAGAAGCAATGAGTAGCAGGGGAGACATAACATTTTGAAATTGTAGAGGTGCCACCAAGGACTATGCAAGCTAGTGTTGATTTTCATGAGTCCTCTTCTTACAAGGATGAGCTACGAGAGATGGGTCTGCTACTTGAGATTTCAGAGTGTGTATCAGTACAGCTGTGATATAACATGAGAAAACAGCAATGTAACAATGATGGCTCGAGTTTTTGCTGAAATGTGCTATATACCCTTAGCTGTTGGGTCATTTTCCTTATCTTCTAGCTCAGGAACTGCTCAGAAGGGGATTTTTTTTATGTCTGAGCATAATTGCAAAATTGTAAGTGTTTTTTCATGTCCCAAAGCTTATTATCCTTTTGATACTACTGCCAATTTCTGTGAAGAGATGCACCAAATCAGTTATTGTATTATAACTGTTCCTCATTTCAGTAAGTGTCCTTACACATTAAAATTTACCAGATGAAACCATCTCACTGGTCAAAAGAAAAGAAAGGGGATAAATAGTAGGCTTCAGTTAACTGAACTCTTCTGAAACTCCACTGCTTTCCTGTGTAGAAATCAGATAGCTTTCTGCTTTCAGATTCATGGGATTCTCTGTCCTAGGCAGTAAGAAACCTGTTTTGTGCCTTTTTGTGCCTTTTTGTCTTTCTGAAAAATCTGTACACTTCTGTCAAACTAAATAAATGTTCTGTGCATTTCTACAAAACTATAATTTTGATTAATTGTGAGATCCTCCAGAGAAATAAAAAAACAGGAAGAACAAAGTGTCCAGGCCTTGTTTGCACTGAGCTCTGTTGCAGATGTGTGTTGTTGATCCAACATAGCCAAAGCTGTGTATTTCAGTGGCAAAACCAAGGATGTGCCTATCACCACTTATCATGGCTGATGGCATTGGCAGAGGTGCAGCAGAAATGCAGCTACACAGCTCCTGAATGCTCCTGCCAGCTGCCTCACATCTGCCCAGCTCAAGGATGTCAGGGAAAAACACTGACATTTCCAGGTGAGATACCTGGATCTCCCATTTGACTGGGTCAGCCCCAGGTGCCAGTGGTTTCCATTTTTCCCTAAGCCCTGTGTTGTGTGACATCTTTTGCAGGGCACAGGGTTTTAGATGTGTGCATTTGTCAGCAAGGGTTTCCTGACTGAGAAGGATTCTCTTCCAGGGACTGGGGTGCTTCAGGGAATACCTGAAAGCAGAGCTTTCTGAGCTGCATCTGACTGGACTCCAGAGTACTTGTTCACTTGTTATCTTGGACAAACAACCGAGCACCTGGCATGATGAGCAGGACATGATTCTCAGCTGTATTAACTGATATGCAAGTGCCATCAGGGAAAGACTGGGCCTGCAGATGTCATTTCCAGTGTCTATGTTCACCTTTCAAGACTCCTGCTAACCTGACAGCACTTTAAAATTATCTCTTTAAAAGAGGAAAAAAAAAAAAAACCCCAAACCCAAACTCTTTTAGAATTTCTAGAATTGTTTTATCTTCTTTACTTTTCACAATTAGATTAAAATTAAAATGTGGATCCAACTTCTCTTAAGGGCCTTGCAGTAGGGACAAGAGTCAGCAATGAATTCAGGGTTGCCACCTGAACAGCTTTGTGGCAAATTTCTGAGTAGCCAGACTAATTTCTTGGGATGCTGTGTACCGCAGGATATGTGCCTTGCCCAGAGACCCATGGGAAATTGAGAAAAAATGAGCACTTTTCTCCACAGTTACTCTGTGTTTTATTATGCCTTGGCTGAAACATCTGGTATTGGTTACTGTCAAATCCAAACTGCTGGATGGATTGCTGCTGTCCCAGTTTGGTGTGGGAATTCCCACATAAGCATATTGCCACCGAGAGAGGAAGAGATGATACTGCTTCTCTCATCAGTTTTAATTGAGGGGCTAGCAGCTGAAAAGTGGCTGGCCCAGGCTTCAGCTGTTCTGCAAATTCTTTAAGTCCCTTAAAATCAGGCAGCATCTTATTTTGCTCACCTGTGTTTACAGTAAAATTTCTGGCATTTCAGAAAGGCAAAGGCAGGAAACAGATGGCCTCTAGATTTAGGTATTTTAATTGTAGAAAATGTTTAAAGTATAGGCCAGTATGGTCTTGGCAGGTGCTCTTTATAAGAAGATGTATTATGCACCCCTGAACTCTGTCCATTATTTAGGCATTTCTTAATACGTAGCAGAATTTAAACACAGCCCCAGTGAGACTCAGCTATTTTAGCAGTCTGTGTTTTCAGTTATCACCAGGCATATATTAATGCTGGGTCGTCTTTTTAATTGGAAAAATATATTCAGAAATTCTCTTCACCTTTTTTATATTATTTTGAAGCTGGCTTACTTGCTAAGCCTGTTGTTTTTCACTCATCCCATATATTGTGTTTTCTTTTTGCTATGCATCTCAAAGCATTTTGCCTCTGAAAACTCTGAATCTAATTTAGTAATTCATTTCAGTGCTTAAATTAAGGGAACAATTGCACTACAAATATCCATGGCACCAGGATGAGGTTTGTTTTTTCTTATTTTAAATTTTTTCTCCATCTTCTAACAAAGAAGGGATTTCTTTGCTTAATGCCTTGACTTTTCCAGCATTTTCTCCCTAATGTTGTACGCTAGTAAAGTTGTCATATCAAGCAACTTTAAAAGACTTTTAAGAGAAACTTGCAACAAATCTTTTCTTCAGCAAGTCTACAGTAATGGTAGAGAAGAAATTAATGAAGAGCTTAAGCTTACAGTGTACTGGATCCAGACCCCTAGATTTGTGCATTCAGTCATTTGTAGAATGAGGCCAAAAGGGAGCAAATTCTTCGCTTGGATGTTGTTTGAGTATTAAGGTAAACAGCACACTTAGATGCATTTCTAAAAGATTTTTCACAAAGATCATAGATGTTATTTTCAAATTACGAAATTAAATAGAGATTAGGCTATCAGCAAAACTCCCCAAGTTTGTTTACTGAAATGATTGAAAAAAACATGTTGATGTTCCATGTAAGGAACACAAATCATTTTATTTAGAGAGGGCTGTTAGCTGCATTAATTTATATGCCACCCACTTAGTTCAAAAAAGTCAGATTTTTTGCTACATCTTAATCAAGTAGGTGCCAATTTTGTAATGTGCCATATTGCTGCTAAAAACATTTTTGCAGTGTGATAGTGTTCATTCAAAGAAAAAGACATTGTGCTTTAGTAAATAATGTGCAACTTGCTCAGACTGAATTTTGAAAGCAATGGAGAGTTGCAGATGAGGCAGTTTTCCTTGTGCATTTGATGACAAAATGGGGAAATGTGTGCCTATTAATGACTAATGGGGAATAGTGTTTGGATCACTTCTTACGAATTTTCTGCTTGACAAGAATTCCAACCCCAAATCCTTCCCATCCAAAACCTTCACTGTGCCCAGTTTATATTACAGAAGTAGAAACAGCACAGGTTGTGGAGCAGGCTGGATATCTGCTTTTACAGAATTGTGGACCTGCAGCTGATTTCTTCCATTTTTCCAAGGCAAATGTATACATTTGTTGTTTTCTCATCCCTAGTAAAGATTGGTATGTAGAAGCACTGCAAAAGTAGCTATGAGTCTTCTTGATAATCTTAGTCATAAGGACAGCTACATGTTAACCTCCAAAAAGATTTTTCTGAATTGCTGCAAAATAGTGAGATAAGTCTGTAAGGATGGCCTGAATTCAATGGCTTGAATTCTGCATAAATGCTCCCTTTGGCAGGCTGATGTCAAAGAGTGTTTCATTTCTTCAGTATAAAGGAAAACCCTCAAAGGATAACCTTTGAGGCATTATTCTAAAGTGAGGCTGGCATTATTCTAAAGTGTTGGCATCAATCCGGCCCTTTGCTCTGAAAAAGTGCATCAGACAATAATCTACTAGACTTTTATGAGGAGCTCATCAAAGGCTACACAAGGAGCTCATCAAAGAGTTCCACTGTGGAAGAACTTGCAAGGGTGTGAAAAGATCCAGGTATCTCACCTGGAAATGTCAGTGTTTTTCCCTGACATGCAGAGCAGAGTTGGAAGGAGCTCTATGCAGATTGGCAGTTGGCTCACAAATTCCCAGACAGTTAAGTTTCTTATTCCATGGATCATCTCTGCGGAAGTTTCTTCCTCTTCTCCTCACTCCATCTCAGGCCCAGATCAGGATGTTGCCCCCTCTTACAAGGAAAAGTTCTGCCAGAGGGAGGTCTGCAGCACCCATTAAATTCTGAGTTTGAGTCTTGAAATATCCTGGGTGGAGAAGAAGAGAAGAGAAGAGAAAAGAAACATGGAAAAGCTGCTCTGGGTGTAGAAAAGGCAGGAAGAGTGTCCACTCTAATTAGGTGTTTCTAAGCTCCTTCATGGAACAAGCTTTTTTATTCAGAGAAAAAACCCTCGATTTATCACACTACTATTGATTCTAGTGCCAAAGAGAGCAAGTATCCTATATGTACAAAAAGGACAGTGAAGCGTGTAAATTCAAATGACAAATTTCTCCTGTGGAGGCTTAACAGACTCAAGGGAAATTTCTTATCAGATTTCTGTAAAACTGCCAAGCCATACTACAAGAGCTATGCAGAGGCATGAACCTTCCACTTGCCCAGGTTACCATTGCTAATAACAAAGACTGACATGGGTAAACAATTGCGTGAACTGAAGACAGCTTGTGAAGATCAATGTGAGCTCTGGCCTTCCCATGCAAGTGAACAAAGGGGATGTCTGCATTCCCTGTGTCTAGCTCATTGAAGATGCTTAGGACAAGCTGTGAAGCCTCTTGTGCTCCTTTTAAGTAGTACAAAAAACATGAAGAATTGGTGTTGCTCCTGATTAAAGTAAGTAATGTCTCATTTGAAATGAAAACTGTCCCCATTTCCTACATGCACACAGCTGTCCTAGGATTGTTGAATGAATGCTAAAAACAAGCCATTATAGGTCAATTCCAGATACAAAGCAGCCAAGTTGACAAAAAGAACTTTATTAGCACTGACCGAGCATCTCCTGCTTTCAGTCAGTGGAGGCTAACTAAGGATAAGGATAAGGAATCCTCTGGGGTTTCTTTCCAGCTTTTAATTAAGGAGCAAGTTTTCACAGTGTCATACCCAAATTGTCAGTGAGAAGAAAAACATTAAGAGTGAAAGGTACAAGGATATTCCTCTGGATGGCCCCAGTGAGAGAAATGCTGGGTGCTGAGGGAAAGGTTCCAGTTCCAGGGTATGTACATGGGTATCATCAGTTCAATGGTGCTGGCAGCTTGGTAATCAGGAAAACCAAACCTGGCTGTGGGACCATGCCATGGTGTCATTGAAGCTGATGCCTGGGAACATGGCTGCATGTTCAATCCTGCTTTGCCACACAGCAGAGTGGTGGGGCCCTGGGGTAACCTGTGCATCCCTCAGGTCACCTCCCTGCCTGCCTCCCATCCCCTCAGTGCCTGTCTTGAAGCTGAATGGTTGTGTGCAGCCTGTGAGAGATGCCTTGCAGCCTTGGGAAAACTCTCTTGGCATGCAAAATAAATGCTGAGCACTGAAGGATATTTCACACGAAGTAATTATTGACAGGAGGTAGGATGCATCTGCCATTTTACTGGAAGTCACCATTTTTACAGCAGAAGTTCAATTTCTAATCCTGACTCCAGCTGTTCTCATTTAATTTACAGCATAATTCTTCAAAGGGATCAGGAAAACAACTTTCAAGGACACGATATGGACCCACTAAAAGGCAAAGAAGAGTAGTTTATTGATAAATGGTTGGTTACTTCTGCTTGTCCTACAAGCAG